CTACGTACAGGACAATTAATCTGTTGTGATTGTTATTTTCTTACACAATAAAATATCCAACGAGATATGGATGACATTTTACGATCGTAAACTAGTACAACAAGTTATATATTTTCCGTATGATTACTGAAATTACTCTGGATAATGAAAACATAACAATAACAAAGCGATAAAGATATTTAAAAGTACACTTACTAATAGTCAGATGTTGACAATCAAGGATTTGTACACAACGACAATCCAGGAAAATAAGAGAGTTAATCAAATTATAGTTTCCCGCCAGAAATTCCAACACAACTCACGGAATTAACACGCCGAAAATAAGTTATTTGATGGAAATAATTATCAAAACGGTTTTTTACACCAAAAGAGTTATGATAAATGTGTTTTAAAGGTTAATTACTGTTTAATAACAAATGTAGCTTATACGTAGCTGTTTGTAGCCGATCGATGCGCTACGTTGTGCTACTTAGGATATTCATTCACTACTAGCTTAGGCTTTGTATTAATCTGCTAGCGTACGTGTACGGTGTATGCTCCCTTAAGGAATTTATGCAATTTTAAATCTGCTACTCATAAGAAGTATATAAGAAAAAGGCTCAAGTCATCTTATTAAAATCTAATATTAATATAAAAATATGATAATAGCAATAAAAATGTAAGTTATAAAAGGATAGGACTAAAAAATAGTGAAAAAATACGAATTAACAGGAATAACTGGAAAGTTAAAATGTCATCGGGAAATGTCTGGTATGAAACATTGAACCATGATCTGTGTTGGACCTTATGAAGATGGTCACCAATCACTTCACCTACGGAAACCTGGACGTGGAAGACGTCCTCGGTCCTGCGGATGATCAACACATGCCGAACCTTCGATCTGCTCCACAAAATTGTGCCGGTTGGATCGGCCCGTTTTCGTGTCAAGGTCACAATTTATATAGGATATAGAAAACAAACGCGTTTGCCTTGTAACCGTCCGCCTTCCAGTGGATAATATGCCAAACTTCGAAATGCTTTCCACGGAGTCGATAAATCGGGCGCTATCGGAGAAATTCGCCAGTTTGCACTATCGAAGTAAATCAATATTTTATATATACGAGGGCCGAGGAAACATTTTCCGGAGATGCAATACAAGTACTAGGTTCAGATTACCGGGTGAGGACTCCCTGTACTGCAATTTATTATGAATATTGTTTAGTGATTGTAACTCAGAACCAAGTGTCAACAGCCGAGCACAGTTCAGAATTCATAAGGGTCGCTTTACTCGGACTGTAAGGATGAAACTCAGTCGAAGTCACTGGAGGGCGATGATTTTCTATCACTATAAATGTGGTTTAAAGCAGTAGCAGAGTGTTGGTCGCGTACGAACTGCCTTTGGTGACGATGCGCCTTGAAGAACTGAGTGGTTTGCGGAATTCACGCATGGCGGGCGGTCCCTGAATGATGAGACATGGTGTAGCCGACCTGTAGAGGCCACCACAACGGAAAATATTGCTGTTGTGCAAGCGATAGTGGAGAAGGATGCGCGAGTGACAGTGGGGCAGATGGTGAAAGCCATTGGGATATCATCCGAATTGATCCGCACCAACCTACATAAGGAGCTCAGCCTCAGAACGGTTTGCGCACGCTGGGTACCCCATCAGTGAGGAACAGAAAGCAATTCGGGTGAATCGGTGCCGCATCACGATTTCCAGGTTTGATGGTGGACGTTCCAATGCAGTGTGGGAGATCATCAGTCCTGATCAAACCTGGGTGTACAGCTTCGACCCACAGATGAAACCATAATCGAATAAGTAGAGGCCAGTTGGTGGGGTGCCGAATCAGAAACTCCGACGCCGGCGCAGTGTGGCAAAGCAGATGATGGCTGAGTTCACGGTCAAAAACGGTCATGTGGCTACTGTACCGCTAGTACAGTAAAGCACAGACACCGGAGACTAGTACGCCACCCACTGTCTGCCGAAAACGCTAGAAGCAGTTGCCTAGCTTCGTCCAAGGACTCGAGCACTTGAACACAGGTCTCATGTTGTCGACTTTTCGGTTAGAGAACACAGTCGATAACTGGTTCCGTGCGACCTTTTGTGTTCCTAGATGTTAAGCGTATGATGCATAGAATCCAAAACGAGTTACTAACAGCTGCAGTGGAGGCCTTAACTGAACTGATCGAAAGATTACTCGCTTCGGCTGTTCCACTATAATGGTTTTGAGAGCAAGGAAATGTCCACGAACGCTGTTGAAGAATACTTCGCAAAAACACTACGGTTATTCTTGTGTACCAAATAAAACCTTTTGTGTATCCGGAAACGTTTTGCTCAGTCCTCATATATGAGGGCAGCCGCAGGTGTGAATGTCGGTGAATGCCTCCGTACTATCGTGAATCAGGTTTTCTAACAACGTTTGCAAGCGACCAAAATGGAATAGAATACAAGGATGTAACCCTCAATATCTGTGCATGAATGCATGCCAGTCCAGTTCAAATGCATTACAATTGACAATCCATCTCCATTGATAATGTAGCATCATTTGATGACTAACGAACAGCACTGGTTTCTTCTTGTCTCAGTTCGTTGATAATCGGATTGGGATACTGCATCAAGTTCCTTTGTTCAGACATCTCTCAGCACCCAATATGGGCCACGTGAGTAGCCGAAGACGCCTATGCCATCAATGGGTATCCGAAGCACCAACGGCTTCGTCGAATTCAACTTTTCAGTCCCAATGGCCAAATCGGTCCTTGTGGCAATCCAACGTGTGCTTATTGAACACGAAGCACGCGTACGGAAGGTAACATACGCGGAGTG